GTCGTCATCGGACAGCGTGTCCAGCATCTCCATCACTGAAGTCTTCATGAGTTTCAGCGTCAATCCGCTCACACTGCCGCTCCTGCCAAACCACACATATATCGTATGTATCATACCCCGCGTATATATACTCCTACACACTGTATATATACAGAGAGAGAGAGAGAGAGAGAGGGGGGGGAGCGAGAGAGGGAGGGAGGGAGAGGGGGGGAAGGGAGAGAGGGGGGAGGGAGGGAGAGGGGGAGAGGGAGTGAGGGAGGGGGGGAGCGAGAGAGGGAGGGAGAGAGAGGGAGGGGAGGGAGGGAGAGGGGGGGAAGGGAGAGAGGGGGGAGGGAGGGAGAGGGGGAGAGGGAGTGAGGGAGGGGGGGAGTGAGGGAGAGGAAGAGGCAGGGAGAGAGGGAGGAGGGGAGGCAGGGAGAGAGGGAGAGAGAGGGAGGGAGAGGGAGGGAGAGGGAGGGAGAGAGGGAGGGGAGGCAGGGAGAGAGAGAGGGAGAGAGGGAGGGAGAGAGGGAGGGGGAGGGGGGAGAAGGGGGGGAGAGGGGGAGGGGGGGGGAGAGAGGGAAAGGGGGAGAGAGGGAGGGAGAGAGAGAGGGAGGGGAGAAAGAGAGAGTGAGGGGGGGGGAGGAGAGGAGAGGGAGGGGAGGAGAGGGAGGGGAGGAGGGGGGGAGAGAGGGGGGGAGATGGGGGGGGAGAGGGAGAGAGAGAGGGAGAGGGAGGAAGGGAGAGAGAGGGGGGAGGGAGAGGAGGAAGGGAGGGAGAGAGAGAGAGGGGGGAGAGGGAGAGGGGAGGGAGGAGAGAGAGAGAGTGGGGTGAGGGAGAGAGAGAGAGGAGGGGAGGGGGAGAGAGGGGAGATGGGGGTGAGGGAGAGGAAGAGGCGGGGAGAGAGAGAGAGGGGGGGAGGGGGGAGAGGGGCGGAGAGGGGGGGATAGAGAGGGGGGTTAAAGAGAGAGAGGGGGGGAGTGAGGGAGAGGAAGAGGCAGGGAGAGAGAGAAATGTCCGCAGAGACTAACAAATGACAGTCCGTAAATCCCCCTGCCATGTCCCTGTGATGCGTTGCTCGCCGCGTACCATCGAATGTCGTGCCGCTGGCGCTGTTCTGACAAAGTCGTCCGTCGCCATCAAAAAGTCTGACAAATAAATTGATTTCTGAAGGCTTCTGCAGGACGTGGAGGAGGTGACACGGCTGAATGTCAGCTCCGGGGGCGAGAGCACAAGCATCGGCGAGTTGAGAGGATTGAGTGGGGGGGTGCAAGGGGGGGTCACACAGCCTGGTAGCATTTATATCTGTCATGTCAGACAGCCCTGGACCCCCCCCCCCCGGTACACACCACTGCGAGCCGAATGACGGATCCTTCCTTCACGGCTGATCAATAGAACACACACCGCAGTGATAGCTGTCATCACCGGACGGGCCGATCGTCGTTAATATTCATTTAGGAATCGTTTCACTTGTCCTGCAGCGCAAAAAAATATTAAAACGGGCCACGCGCTCGGCATCTGTAACGACCAATCAGGAATCTTCTGTTCCGGCTAATGAGAATTGATTGGTCGATTTGGTTTGTTACATTTGTAACATTGTTGCCGTATTAAAATGTATCCAAACCCGGGAAGGAAAATGGAACATAACGCCGGGTACCGCTCCTTAGACGTGGTGACTTCAGTAGCGCTCGTTTATACGCGTGGTGGTTGAGGGGTGGTAATAAGAGTCGAATCAGCTGCGTTTTTACCCCCCCCCCCCCTTTACTGTTAATGGCAGCCAGATGGGGGTGTACACGTGTCATGGCAAAAATTGCAGCCCCTGTTGCACTCGGTGGGAGGTACCGCCGCTGAACGCGACCCATTGTAGTGAATAGGGCTGGAAAGCATTCCGCCACGGATCGGGGACGCACACAGTGGGGGGTGATTATACCCGGGGGGTCCTGAGAAACCCACTTCCTGTTGATCCTGCCAGAATTCCAATGAGCTGCTAACTTGCTGCGCTCCCCGCCTCTGCGGACTATTATGAGTTACGTCGTTTACAGATCACCTCTAAGGACTACAGTACCCCCCCCCATGTAATGGAGAAGATTTGAAAGAGGGAGGTTTTCTGTAGTCCTGTCCTAGGGTGACAACACTCACTATACTGGGTCTATGTAGGAGCAGCGTTGTCACCCTAGGACAGGACTACAGGAAACCTTGCCTCTCTTCTTTTCTCCATCACATGGAGGGGGGGGGGGGGTGTTCTGTAGTCCTCAGAGCTGAATAAGGAACAATGTAACTGATAAAAGTGCCAGAGATTACAGGAAGTAGTCAGCTCACAGGATTTCTGGCAGGATCGTTGTGGGCACTTATTAAACAGAAATCACAAAATATTTCGATGGGACATGAAGACCAAAGGAGAGCCAATTCAGGGCGTTCAAGGTGTTGGGGGGGAGGGGGGGCGCATCACTTTAACCCCTTCCTGCCGGCTGTCTGCGAATATGTGGCAGTACTAAGCTGGGCCGTACTCAGTGCTGCCACCTATATGCGTCATGTGGGAGTGCGCGCCCCAAGCATCGTGACTGCGCTGTCACCATCAATGACGCATTAGCAGGCGGTAGGACAGAATCCCGATCACATGACCAATATGACCGCCAATCACAGTGATCGCAGGATCAGGAGGTCCATGAAACGCCTCCAGCATTTAGATTTTTTCATGGGCCACTGAGAGGGGTACCCGGGAGCAGTGATACTCACACATCCACTATAATGACCATGTCCTTGGGGGAGGAGGCGCCCTGGATGTACCTGGAAATCACAGAGAATACATTGTAACTGCCGGAGAATATTGGCGCCAAAATGTTATAGTCACACACTATTGTCATACATTTATATAGCTCTGACATATACCGCAGCGCTGTACAGAGAACACTGGGCCAGTCCCATCAGTCTCTGTACCAGAGGAGCTTACACTCTAATGTCCCCTCCCCCACAGTCCCATCAGTCTCTGTACCAGAGGAGCTTACACTCTAATGTCCCCCCTCCCCCCACAGTCCCATCAGTCTCTGTACCAGAGGAGCTTACACTCTAATGTCCCCTCCCCCACAGTCCCATCAGTCTCTGTACCAGAGGAGCTTACACTCTAATGTCCCCTCCCCCACAGTCCCATCAGTCTCTGTACCAGAGGAGCTTACACTCTAATGTCCCCTCCCCCACAGTCCCATCAGTCTCTGTACCAGAGGAGCTTACACTTTAATGTCCCCTCCCCCACAGTCACATCAGTCTGCACCAGAGGAGCTTACACTCTAATATTCCCTCCCCCACAGTCCCATCAGTCTCTGTACCAGAGGAGCTTACACTCTAATGTCCCCTCCCCCACAGCCCCATCAGTCTCTGTACCAGAGGAGCTTACACTCTAATGTCCCCTCCCCCACAGCCCCATCAGTCTCTGTACCAGAGGAGCTTACACTCTAATGTCCCCTCCCCCACAGTAACATCAGTCTGTACCAGAGGAGCTTACACTCTAATGTCCCCTCCCCCACAGCCCCATCAGTCTCTGTACCAGAGGAGCTTACACTCTAATGTCCCCTCCCCCACAGTAACATCAGTCTGCACCAGAGGAGCTTACACTCTAATGTCCCCTCCCCCACAGTCACATCAGTCTCTGTACCAGAGGAGCTTACACTTTAATGTCCCCTCCCCCACAGTCACATCAGTCTGCACCAGAGGAGCTTCCCCCACAGCCCCATCAGTCTCTGTACCAGAGGAGCTTACACTCTAATGTCCCCTCCCCCACAGTAACATCAGTCTGCACCAGAGGAGCTTACACTCTAATGTCCCCTCCCCCACAGTCCCATCAGTTTCTGTACCAGAGGAGCTTACACTCTAATGTCCTCTCCCCCACAGTCACATCAGTCTCTGTACCAGAGGAGCTTACACTCTAATGTCTCCTCCCCCACAGTCACATCAGTCTCTGTACCAGAGGAGCGTACACTTTAATGTCCCCTCCCCCACAGTCACATCAGTCTGCACCAGAGGAGCTTACACTCTAATATTCCCTCCCCCACAGTCCCATCAGTCTCTGTACCAGAGGAGCTTACACTCTAATGTCCCCTCCCCCCCCCCACAGTAACATCAGTCTGCACCAGAGGAGCTTACACTCTAATGTCCCCTCCCCCACAGTCACATCAGTCTCTGTACCAGAGGAGCTTACACTCTAATGTCCCCTCCCCCACAGCCCCATCAGTCTCTGTACCAAAGGAGCTTACACTCTAATGTCCCCTCCCCCACAGTAACATCAGTCTGCAGCAGGAGCTTACACTCTAATGTTCCCTCCCCACAGCCCCATCAGTCTCTGTACCAGAGGAGCTTACACTCTAATGTCCCCTCCCCCACAGTCACATCAGTTTCTGTACCAGAGGAGCTTACACTCTATTAATATACATTTATATTTCTCTGGAAGTGTCTCTCCTTCCTGCAGCTTTGACTCGGTGACATGTGATCCAGGAAACATCTTACTGGCTAAAAAAAATTTGGCCTTCTATCTCGCGAGGCCACGGAATTGCGTGCTTTTGGACGCGGCGGCGGATCTCTGATGCGCTGTACTAATTAAACAAGTGATCTAAGAATTTCAGACTGCAAGCCAAAAGAAAAGTAAAGTTCTGCCTGGAGCTTCTCTGAAAAACAGAAAATCCTTTGGAATGCCAATGAATGGGAAGACAAAGAAGGCGCTGCGCGTGTATTCAGGCGCGGGGCGCTCCACAAACACGCAGCCTTCAGGTGCCGCACTGCTATTCCAGGCACTCTCCAGCGGCGATGATCCGTGAAATGAAAATTGGACAACAATGCTCAGAACTGGAGACAAGACGGCATGCAGGAGAGAGAAGGAGAGACTGAAAGAGAAAGAGGAAACAACGGGTGACGGAAAGACGCAGGAGGAATGCAAGGAGGGAAGAGGTGACCACAGTCCACCAATCATCAGTAAGGGTGGCCCCAGCCACAGGGGTCAGCCCCTACATTGGGGGTCAGTGGGAAGAATGTCCCTTACATTGGGGGTCAGTGGGAAGAATGTCCCTTACATTGGTGATCAGTGGGAAGAATGTCCCTTACATTGGGGGTCAGTAGGAAGAATGCCCCTTACATTGGTGGTCAGTGGGAAGAATGTCCCTTACATTGGGGGTCAGTGGGAAGAATGTCCCTTACATTGGTGATCAGTGGGAAGAATGTCCCTTACATTGGGGGTCAGTGGGAAGAATGTCCCTTACATTGGGGGTCAGTGGGAAGAATGTCCCTTACATTGGAGGTCAGTGGGAAGAATGTCCCTTACATTGGGGGTCAGTGGGAAGAATGTCCCTTACATTGGGGGTCAGTGGGAAGAATGTCCCTTACATTGGGGGTCAGTGAGAAGAATGTCCCTTACATTGGGGGTCAGTGGGAAGAATGTCCCTTACATTGGGGGTCAGTGGGAAGAATGTCCCTTACATTGGGGGTCAGTGGGAAGAATGTCCCTTACATGGGGGGTCAGTGGGAAGAATGTCCCTTACATTGGGGGTCAGTGGGAAGAATGTCCCTTACATTGGGGGTCAGTGGGAAGAATGTCCCTTACATTGGGGGTCAGTGGGAAGAATGTCCCTTACATTGGGGGTCAGTGGGAAGAATGTCCCTTACATTGGAGGTCAGTGGGAAGAATGTCCCTTACATTGGGGGTCAGTGGGAAGAATGTCCCTTACATTGGGGGTCAGTGGGAAGAATGTCCCTTACATTGGGGGTCAGTGAGAAGAATGTCCCTTACATTGGGGGTCAGTGGGAAGAATGTCCCTTACATTGGGGGTCAGTGGGAAGAATGTCCCTTACATTGGGGGTCAGTGGGAAGAATGTCCCTTACATGGGGGGTCAGTGGGAAGAATGTCCCTTACATTGGGGGTCAGTGGGAAGAATGTCCCTTACATTGGGGGTCAGTGGGAAGAATGTCCCTTACATTGGGGGTCAGTGGGAAGAATGTCCCTTACATTGGGGGTCAGTGGGAAGAATGTCCCTTACATTAGTGCTCTTTGGTAAGATTCCCTCCCTTGCACATAGTGTAAGTACAGTAGAAGATCGGTGGTGTCAGTGGTGTCAGTGGCGACTCATCTGAAGGGCAGAAGTTGTTCTGTGCTCAAGGAACCCCTGACAACACCCGGAGGAACCCTGGCTGAGAAATGCCGGTGTAGACAGATATGAAACAAAGTTACGAAGGAGAAGATAAAATCAGTAAAATGTAACTGTTCCACGACGACTTAACTGTAAAAAGTGAACCCTCCCGGGGCACTCACCATGGGCGCCGGCGTACGTCATACAGGTCAATCTTGCTGGGTGCCCTCCATGGGGTGGCTGCAAAAACAGAACACACTTTTAGGGTGCCATTAACATGAACAGGAACTTATGGAGCCTAACTCCCCCCTCACCAGTCACCTGGGTAGTAGCGGGTCACTCCGGTGGCGCTGCCAAACACCTGCCAGAGCAGCGTGGGGTCCTCCTGGCGGTTCTGGATGAAGACGTTCTCCAGGGCGTCCGTCCAGTTCAGCTCGTTCAGGATGACAGTGGCTGGGGAGACATGGGTCAGCAGGGGAGGACAGGGGTCAGCGGGGGGTAACTGGGACCAGCAGTTGGAGAGAGGTCCACAGAAGGAGGGTGGGGGAGGTCATTGCTCAAAAAGGGGGACGCAGACAGGGAGACAAGCGGCAGACAGGGAGACGGGGGGTCAGCCGGGGGAAGGGGAAGGAGAGCGATATTTGCGGGGTTCACATGCGGTAGATTGATTGGATGTGTTTAGATGCTGCAGTCTCACAATGAACCTTAACTAATTGCTTACATGTGATTAATTACACCCACTGACAGCTTATTAGATGCTAACAGCACTTAGCACCTCGACGTCTGACACCCTGAACACTCAACACAGCGTGAAATCACTTGTTAACAGCCAAATACACAATGCGTGGCCATTTCGACCCTAAACATCTCAATCTCGCCATGGAGCCCGCTCCTAAAACACCGCTTCCGCTGACCCACAAAAGTCTCTGCCTATTCCACCCATCGACACCTTCTAAAGAGCTCCTGCTAACTATAAATCAGGCAGCCCAGCGTCCGCCAGCTGCCGCCGAACTACAAGTCCCAGCATCCCAAGAGCTGAGGATGCCACGAGGCAGCTGCAGCTCAATGGGATGCAATTCCATTAGCAACACAAATGCAGCGGAAAACCAGTTGAAAGCCTCATAGTTCTTCTCCGTGACGACATTCTATAATGCCCCCCCACCGATCCACCTCTAGCTGCTCCTATATATCTACGTGACACCATCAATAAATCTTACTACTGCAAACTATCAACAATCTGTTCCTCGTTTCGTTAAAGGCCGTTGTTCCTCCTCTCGTTACTCCACGGTCTGGATGCTTTAACTGTGTAAGAGGAGTCCAAAAATTGATTTTGTCTTCCTGTCTCACGGGTTTCCCTCTATTTTGGAAATGATCTCAAAGAGAGAAGACTTGCTGTTTTCTAGGTCTATGAAGCTTTTCATTTATCAGGGGTCTCCAACCTTTCTAATCAAAGGACCAGCTTACTGTCCTTCAGGGTTTAGGGGGGCAGAACTGTGGCCAGTGGGACTGGAAGATGCCCCAGCATCAGTGCCCCATCATTGGTTTTAGTAAGAGGAATAGTGCCTCATCGCTGGTATCAATGGGAAAAATAGTGTCCCATTGATGGTGTGAGGGGGGGAATGGTGGCACAACATTGGTGTCAGTTTGGGGAATAGTGTCCCAAGGGCCAGAAAAGAGAAGCAAGGCGTATGGGCCACCATACTATACTATACCATGACCCAGATCAGCAGTCTCCAAACTGCCCCTGGACCACAGTTTGGAGACTGCTGATCTGGGTCATGGTATAGTATAGTATGGTGGCCCATACGCCTCAAGGAAAAGGGATGTTCTGCTGAGAACAGTGAGGTGCACATTTTGGACAGAGAGGTCCTTCAGGCTTTAGGGGGGCATAACTGTGGCCAGTGGGAGTGGAAAACGCCCCAGCATCAGTGCCCCATCATTGGTTTTATTGAGAGAAATAGTGCCTCATCGTTGTTATCAATGGGAAGAATAGTGTCCCATTGATGGTGTGAGTGGGGGGGAATGGTGGCACAACATTGGTGTCAGTTTGCAGAATAGTGCCCCAAGGGCCAGAAATTAGGGCAATGAGCCCCAGAAAGAGTTCCTGGTGTTCCTTTCATAAAATGAACCTCACCTTGCAGCATTATTTATATCTTCCTAGTGCTCCTTTAAAGAAACAGGTCTATGAGATGATCTTCTCTGGGAATTAAAAGTCTCAGCCTTTCTCAACCTTTTAGGTCCAAGAAGAACCCTTGAAATAATTTGGAGACCCTTGCTAAAACCACTGATTTGGTGGCCAGTGGGAACAATACCCCTCGTACAGTGGTGGTCAGAATGTTCCCCTCTCTCTGGTCTGTGAGATCACCTTCTCTGGGAATTAAAAGTCTCAGCCTTTCTCAACCTTTTAGTTCCAAGAAGAACCATTGAAATAAGTTGGAGACCCTTGCTAAAACCATTGAATTGGTGGCCAGTGGGAACAATACCCCTCGTACAGTGGTGGTCAGAATGTTCCCCTCTGTGTGGTCTATGAGATCACCTTCTCTGGGAATTAAAAGTCTCAGCCTTTCTCAACCCCTTAGTTCCAAGAAGAACCCTTGAAATAAGTTGGAGACCCCTGTCAAAACATTTTATTGGTTGCCAATGGGAAGAATGTTCCCCCATACAATGGTGGTCAGAATACCACCCTTACGGACAGATAAAAATATCATTGGTGTCATGCATCTGACTCTGCCAAGTGGTGATGGCCCCAGAACAGTACACACACTACCAAATGGCATATCAATCAAGCACAGCTCAGGGAACCCCTAGCAACCTCTGTAGCAACCCTAAGGTTCCACGAAGCCATGTTTGAGAATGGCTGCTCAATCTCTTTCACAGTCTGCTCACTGCGCCTCCTGCAGGATTCCAGCTCACACTACAACCAGAAGAGACATTACGTATCCCTACAAGATCTTCACGATGGAAACTACTATGGAGACACCGACTCTTAATGATCACTAAACGGTGTTTCATTTCCCCATTGCTGCGAAGGGGGGCACGAGAATCCTATTTCTGCTGACGTTGGGGTTCTAGGGGTAAATTTTGGGGTACGGAGGAGTTGGGTGGTTTGGATCACTCACAACCCTTGTAGATGTCTGTAGGGATCTGCACCGCTGTGTACGAATAATTAACTTTCGCCTTGAAGTTCAGATCGTCAGTAAAATCTAGCTTGAGGGAGTGGCTGGTCTCTCGTAGCTCCTCCTCCCCTTCTGGGTCATCCTGTTAAAGGAGATGTCAAATCAGGACAAAGAATAGCAGCAAAGATATACAATGTATTTGTTTTTTGCTTCATATATATATATACACACACACATACATACTGCATGTTGAAATGTGTTTTTCTATATTACAAAGTATATGAAATTTTTTTTGTATGTATATATATATATATATATATATATATATAATAATATATATATATACACACATACTACATGTTGAAATGCATTTTTTATATATTACAAAATTTATGAAAAATATTTAAAAAAATATATTTTTTTAAACTATATTCTTCAGATTTTTTTTAACATATAAAATAGTCATTTTAAGATATATTGTTACCTATATTTGTAAATGCAGATTTGTATTTTTAAACACATACAATATATTTGAAATGTATTTATAAAAATATTTTTCATATATTTTGTAATAAAAACGCATTTCAACATACAGTATATCTATATATATATATATATATATACACATATATTTATTGAAATATATTTTGAAGTATATTGAACACGGCCAAAATTGTAGCATTTCAAATATATGTCAATATATTTGGGAAGAATATTTTCTAAATATATGTCAAATATATTTTTTTTCCATGTGGGTTGGCCCGCTAGGCAAGTGGTTAAAAGGCGTAGATGGTCCTCACGCAGTGGTGAGCCCCGTGAAACGCGTAGAGCGTTTATTCTATTGTAACTTTGTTACGCCTGCTTTCATGTTTTTAGTGTGATTATTATACATGCCTACTGGCAATTTTATGTTGGATTTTTTGTAAAAAGAAAAAAAAAAAATGCTGGATTTGAAATGTATTTTGTCATATATATTCTCCCGTTGGTGTACATCAAGTCCCTTTTTTTTGTTTGTCTTGTCTCAAAAGAGCAGGGCCCTCGAACCCCTCGTGTATTGTATTGTTACTGTCTTGTCTCATGTTATGTCCCCCTTGCTATTGTACAGCGCTGAGCAAACCGTTTGGCGCTATATAAATACTCTATAATAATAATAATAATGTATAATCGTGTAAAAATATATAAACTTTGAAATAAAAAAAAAAAAAAT